GGAATCCTCCTCCTTCCCCTTAATAGAGTGGTATTCTAGTTGTTTGTTTTTAAATTTTTTAACATATATTCAGGTCAACACAAACATGGGATAATAAATATTAAAGTGGCTGCCGTTTATTGAGCATTCAAAACCAAAAAAATCAAACACTATCACCGAGTCAATTCTGGCTCATAGTGACCCTATAAAGGTGTAACTCTTTACAGGAGTAGAAAGCCTGGTCTTTTGAGAACTGTGGTAATTGCCTTTTAAATGCTTAATGATATTTAACAGCCTTTTAAGGAAGGTATTAATATCTAATTTCAAGAGAAAGAATCTGAGCTTCAGAGAGGTCAAGTAATTTGACTAAGGTCACATAGTAATTCAAAGCCATTCTCCCTGACTCTTAATCTCCAGGCTGGGCTCCTAGGTTTTGCATCAGTTGTGGACTTCTGGTTTTTTAAGTCCCAAATAGTAAGGAATGAGGCTTGTTTTTTGCAGGGGGGTGGGGGAGTGCTGGGGGGTCAGAATGAGAAGCCAGGCCTACATCTGTCCCTGCTCTAAGCTGTCCAGTCATGAAATAGAATGAGTTCCATTCTAGAGTTTCATTTGGTTCACACCGTTTTTAAAAGCTCAGAAATTCCTCACATTCATACTAAACACTACAAGTTATCATTTTTCTTCAAGTATCGAAAGTCTTGCAATTATGCCTCCTTAATTTCTTCTAGCATTAGTAGGGTTGTTATGATTTAATAAAGAAGTTTCAAGTTAAATGTTGCCCTGACTCTGGATCTGTTAAATTAGAGACTTTTCTAAGGACAGACTTATTTAAGGACAAGGAAAATTACTGCTGATATGAATCACTTAATTATCGATAGTGTGATGATTTTTAAGAATGAAGTGATTGTTTAAATTATTTGGTTTTAATTCAGGAAGATAGTAAGTTTTGCTTTAACTTACTTATCCAGATAATTTCTTTAGACGTTGAAATAAACTTGAAGCATTTGAAACTGTCTCTAAAATCTTGGATCTTCCTATTTAATTAAAAGTAAAGCAATGGACTGATTGCTAAGTGGGAGCATTGTGGGAATTACTGATCTCTAGAGTAACATGACATTGCTGCACTTGAATAGTCAGAACAGAATTGCAGATGGACTTGATCTTTTGGACAGGGCTAGGTTTAATGAGAGTTTTAGATATTTCAGCTAGAAAGAATAAAATTGAATTCCTCTCTCCTGTGGTTTTCTGCTGCTTTTTCCAGTTATTTTTATTTAGTTATTTTTGAATTGTAGCTATAGTTAGAAAAGATTTCCTGGGATTAGGAAGTTAATTATTTAGGTAGCAAACAAAGAGTTGTTTTAGACATTTTACTATCATTAGGAGACAGTTTAAAAAGACTTGGAATTCTATTGTCTTGTAAGAAGTAAGAAATATTTATTGATTCCCAAATGGAGCTGAAAAAAACCTTTCCTCTTTTAGAAAGTTGTGAATGACCCAGCGAGAGCCCTAGTAAGCTTTACTGAACCACGCTGCTAATAGTTATTTAATGTTATTCTTCAGTGTGAAAGAATCTCCGTAGATTTTCCTTTTAATCTCTTTGAATTGCAGGCTCATAAACCTCTCTGATGAGTCCTGCCAGTGTTTTCTTAGATCCCACCGTTGAGACAATGGAGCCACAGAATTCCTTCACCTCTTGTTGTCAGACAAATCCAATAGAACACAAGGTCAGAAGGGCCCATACTTCTAAAGATTGAAAGATTCTTTTTCAAGTAACCACATAAATTATTTGGTGTTATCAATTTATTCCTCCAGAATCTTTCTTCAACTCTAAGGCACCGCTTTCTATATGTTAGTACATTTGGAAGTTTCACTTGTCTCCATATTCAGTTAAGCTTGTGATCACAGTTCAGGGTGTGTACAGACCTTTATCGTGCCAGATACCTTAGAAACATCTGAACCATGCACTTCAAAAGAATCAGGACTCATGGAGTGTCACTGGGCTCAAGATAGAGCACACAAATGCCATGCAATGCTTTTTCTTTCCAAATGGGGTTTTTGCTTTTGTTTGGGTCTTGTGTAATTTACCATAATGTGGCTAAGATTCCAGTTTTAAAATCTTGAATCACCTTCAACGAAACCATCCTCTTAAGTCAGTTTATGTTTTCTCAATATACTTAAGGGTATCCTTTTTTTAACAGAACACGATAGTTTTGTATTTTCAGATACCTATAAAATGTCTTTGTGAGGTTCAAAATATTTGTAATATGTAATACTGGAGGTGTGGGGAGGGGGAGCTAACTTACCTGTTTTCCAGATTCCTTGTCTGATTCTAGGCGATTATCAAAGCTAATTAAAGGGTTAGTGTGATTACTTTAGGGGCTAGAATATAATTGAGTTTTCTATTATAACCACAATAGTGGACAAGCAGAGCTCATTGTTTAAAAAGAGAAAAAGAAAGAAAGAAAACACACACGCGCACACTGATTTGTTTGTGCTCCTTTCTTGTAATAGGAGGGGGCGGTTGCTGTTGCCCTATTCCCTGGACACCTGCCTCTCAACAAAGGATCCTGGTCACCCAACCCCCCTACCTCCTGCATTCAGATTCACCTTTTACTTGTCTCTCCCCCTCTACTCATTATACAGTTCTCCAGGGATCCAATTTTTCCTGGAGTTAATCACCCTAGCCTTTTTCAGAAGTTGTTAGATTACCATCCTTTCACAGAATACATATTTTCTCTTGAGACTCGTTCTTTCTGCTAACTTCTTTCCTTACCTTTATTTAAAATGCAGCTATTAGATTCATAGGCATTGTCTTTTTAGAGCTTTTCATTGAAGTATAACATAGAGGGAGAAGTTCTCAAATGGTAAGTGTACATATCCATTTAACTAGCATGCCAGAAGGTCCCTGTAACTCCTTTTAGTCACTGCCCCATAGCATCAGAATTTGGCTGGTTCGCAGTTCATATACTAGGAATCATACAGTATATTCTTTTTTGTGTGTCAGGTATTGACACTTAAAACCAAATTCCCCACAGAAAGTCAGACTCTGTACACATAGCATTGAGTAATCAGGTCAGTGTCTAGATTTCAGAATCAGACACAGGACATGGACATTTACTGTACTGTATTTACCAAGAACTATGATCTGAGATGATCTCTCAACCATAAAACAGGTAGCTAATTTACAGGCCTTGCAGTTAGAGATAAAGAAGAGGAAAAATAATTAAAATGTTAAAGCTACTTTTTTTTTTTTAGTAGGTAGAATAATAGGGTTACAGGACTAGTGAGAGTAACAATAGCTTTCCAGTAGAGAAGCAGAACAATAGGAAGATAACTTGCTTGGCAGTTACATTTGCCATTTATTCCTCATTACTTCAAAATGGGATATATGTGAGTACATTGTCTTTTTGAATAATTAATGTATTATAGGTGTCCTGGATAAGTTCTATTAAGATGGCTTACTTGATTGTCATTATTTCTGTCTTTTCTGATTTACTTTAACTGATTTCAAAATTGCTTAAGATATAAGATAGCCTGAATTATAGACAACTTGTTTATTAGTTGATTACTCTTATTATACTCCAAATATAATATGCCCTAAACAGGAGCTGTTATGTGCGTATTTTTACCTTTCCTTCCTCATATCTGAAAAAGCAGCTCCCCCATCATTCAAACACATGATAAAGATTGGTCTCTCCATCCTTGAAACTTTTAGGTAGAATTTTATTTAAATGAAGAATAACTGGTAGCCAAATATACTTTGGGTTGAATGTGGACATTGTTTTATTTTGTTCAAAAATTAGCATCCTGATACACTCTGCATAAGCTCTTCAGTGAGCCTTCAGCTATGGAAGACCCCCTCGCGACCACTGGGCAAGGTCTGGATAATCTTGGGATTTGGGGGAAAGTCTAATAATAGACTGTTGGTACCCAGAGAAAAATCAAGTGATATAATATTTGACATACCTTAATAGAGAGCCATGGTGAGTACAAAATATTGTATAATCTTTCATCTATTATAAAATTGGATAACTCACCAATACATTTTGAACAGGCACTTATTAAATATAATTAAATTGCAGGCATTCATACAAGGGAACAAAGGGAAGCATTCTCAGCAAGTGAACAAGTGAGACAGCTCAAGAAAATTTCATTGGGGTAGGGGGTGGATTTTAGTAGTTTCTTTTTAAGCATTGACTTCTAGAACAATACATGCATACAGGAAATATAATATGCCTTAAAAACAAAGACCGCTGCTGTTTTCTTTATCCCATAGTACATGCTTCTACTACCTGGACCACACTCTTAGATGAATTCAGATTAAATTCCGATCTTCTTTCCACCTTCCATTCGTAGAGAAAAATTTGGCCCAGATAATAGAGATGGAACATCAATACAATACAGTTCCAAGGTTATGGAAATATTAAAGGCATTCTCCGTGTAAGCTACTTAGCAATTAAAAATCAGAGACTAATATCCTTTTACATTTGGGTAGAGCTTTCTTTTCTAGAGTGCTTTTAACTAAATTCCACTTAATTTGAAGAACATTGTCATGGGGAGGTATAGATGAGGAAGAAATAACTTGTTTCAAGACATGAAAACAGATACACCTGAGATGAGAAAACTGGTCAAATGTTCCAACTGTGGTTCAGAACATTATTTTTACCCAACCCCACACTCCTGCCTACCTACAGAGAGTTTATCTGACAAAACTGCGCCTTCCCCACAATCTGTCATCGAATGGTTTTCATGACTTTGCATGTTATGTGTTTATAGAAAAATAGGGTAGATTTTGACTAGTAAAAGTCTGTAAGAAATGGTATGTAAGAAATGGTATGTTGTGGATTTTTCAGTCATCTGAAATCAGTAACCCTAAAACTTTGTTGTCAAAAGTAGTGAGTGAGTTTTTTATTAGTGCAGATATTAGAATTGTCGGAATCAGGCTGGAACTGCCTTCTCAGTAGTTCTCTATGGTTATGATTAAAGTATCCAAACTAAGTATCTAATGGTACATTTTACAGAAGATGATCTAAGAAATATCGGACCAGTGGATGCGCGAATATGTCTTGAAGATATGTCCTGGAATAAAGGTTGGAACTTTTTATGTTTGTTTTACTACATTGAAGAAAAATATTAGGGATTTTTAGAGGAAAAAATAGTTATTAGGTACATAAGATTTGTTTTTTACTATCTTGGTCTTTTCATTACTCTGTATAATATGGTCAATCACGTTTGTGATGGTGATTGTCTTTCCCCTTATCTTGACAATTGAGATGAATTCCTATTAGAATTTTTGTATTTCCTCTCTATAGAATCGTAAACTGTTGGAGCATGCAGTTCTATTTGGATGTTTGATTTTCGCCCGCACTTTTTCATTATTTTTTAGAGGAAAAAGTCCTATGTCACTCAACTTGATTTATCATGAAATCATACCTTTCTACAGAACTTTAAATTTTAAATCCAGTTTTATTTTCCAGTCTTTAAATTACTCTGGGTATCTAACTATAACATTTATTGGAATATTTTTCATGGGAAATTTGTACTCTTTGCTACTCCTAGGAAATCCTAAGTCCAATGACTTAGAAAAGTCATTGCTTTTTGCCTGTGGCAGGAGACCCCAAATCCCCCTTCCCCAGTGAACTCCTAGAGGGAATTATTTTCAGGGAATAATTGGAAAATGTGACAATTTTATGTAATTGATGTTCCCAATGTAGAGCTACTACTGTGAAACTTGAATACACCAGTAGCAGAGGCTTGCACTGGTAGTGTGTGGAGGGGAGACTAGAACATACGATGCAGCAGAGACTAAGGCGATATATTCAACTAGTTTTTTAAAAATAGTTACGCTGCACCTTATCAATCAATATATATATATATATATATGTCTTACTGTTTTATTAGACAAATCAGCTCCCATTACTATAGCTGATATCAGGGCTTGGAACCAGTTTACTATGTTCCTGCAATTGCCAGCACAAACAAGGGCAGCATAGCAACCAAAATAGCTTGTGCTATTTTGATCCATGTGAGAAAAACAGCAGTGCCTTGCTCAAGGATGATGGCTGACCACTGAGCTTTGAATGTGTGTTGCTCTCCAGAGTCCTGCCACTAAAGCTACTCCTCAAAAGTCCCACTGTCCTTCCTAAAAGTTTCAGGAGACTGATGCAGAAGATTGAATTATTGGCAGGGTTCAGAGACCAAAACATTCAAAGCAGTGCCGTCTTTGAACTTCTAAAGCCATCATCTTTGAGGAGGGCACACGTTGCATTCTCACTTGGGCAAAATTGCACGGGCAACACCTTTGATTGTTAAGTAATGTGTACTTGGCCCTTGTTTAGAAGCCCTGATTGGTAGGGCTTGTATATTTTGTTTTATTAGTGGTAACAACCACTATGAGTCAGCATCAACTTGATGGCCGTGAGTTTTTGGAATTTAGGGTATTTATAATTTGTCTCTTTTTTTAAACCATTCTTTAAAAATAATTAGGATTTTATTTTAAATTAAGAGTATGGATTAATGGTGGTTCATGTATATGTTTAACCAATGTATATATGAGCTCTCTGATACAGGTGGAAATGCAGAGCTACTGAAGTAAATAAAATCATTGAGAGTAACCATAAATGTATTGTTGTACCTGGTTCTCCCCAGCAGACTTGATAGTAAAAGTAAAGAATCTCAACCCAGCCAAGTTAGTCAGTAATACATAGATAAAGCATATAGAATATTAGAGGAGTATTACAAAATGTCCCTATATGCTATTTAAACTAAGGTGTATGGTATAAAAATAATCCTTATCACTGTAAGAAAATACAGAGCAACAACAGCACCAAGCTATTATTTTTGCAAGAATATTGTAAAACTAGTTTACAAGTTTCCAAGTGAAAATGTTTCTGTTAAAAAGAGTAGTCTTGGCAAATGGAGTAAAATAAAAAGTACAATCAACTAGGGGAGTTAAAAAATGTTTTAAGATTATTACAGGGTCAGGTTTAGTTGGAAGGGTAAGCTCTAGAACAGAGTATGTGATAAAGCCCTGCAGGAGAGACATAACCACACAATTGGTTTGAGACAGTATGAAATGATGCATTTATTTGCTAAAAGGTGTATGAAAAATTCTTGAGTGACTAGAATAAGCCTTTCTCTGAACAATTATTGCATGACATACTTCAATCAACCTGTTGGTAGGGATTGTGATGAGAGTTGTACGAGCCCCCAATAAAATGATTTTTTTTAAAAATTAACCTGTTGGTTTTCATTTGGGGGTTTTAAAGTGATGATTTCTATTACTTGTACAATACAATACTATTAGAAAGTTTCAACAAGATATGTTTTAGTGAGAAAAAGGAGGAAGAATTTAGTTTAAGAAACCTGTTAGAATATATACTTTTTAGACAAGTTAATAATAAAACAATTGAAACCATGCTCTACTATGCAAGCAAAGCATCTTATGTAAATACAGAACAATGGAATTTCTCCACGAACTTTTAATTAGAAGCCCCCTTCTCTCTCTCCTCAGAAAGGAAAGATGATGGTCAGCATTTTTTTTTTCAGGATCGAATTACTTATTTCTCTATCCCCCCTTTCCTGGAAGAACTCTGTGCTGGAGTTACTCCACATCAGAATGGCAGTTTTGGCATTCCCGAGGGACTCCAATCATGTTCCTTTTCAATGTTCTTTTGAGTTTTGGAAAAAGAAGTCTGAGGGAGCAAGGTCAAGGATGCAGCATGGAAGGCATATGGGTTTATGCAGAATTCTGGTGGGGGAGCCCATGCTACCCTTGACGAAGGAGCAGTGCGTTGCTGTGAGGAAAAATGTGTTGGTGCAACTTTCGTGGCCTTTATTCTCAGCAATGCAGTTTTCAGTTTCCTTAAATTGTCTTCCACAAACCCGTGGGATCATCCTGTATTCTGTAAGAAAAAGCTCTGGAATTCTCATAACTGATCTGGCTTGTCTTGAATTTAACTGAGCCAGCAGATCCCCTTGGAAGCCACCGTTTTGATTGGACTTTTCTTTTTTTGGAAGGCACCCTAATGAGACTAAGTGTGTTATGGAGAGAACTTGTACACAGCCATCCACTGATTGCAGGACATGTTGAAACATGTTTTGTTTGGACATCTTTCCATATATGAACTGGACCCCGGTAGCAATACTTTTCAACTTGCCCTCATAATCAACAAATACAAAGAAAAGTGTTGTGCTTCTGTCTGTCAGGATCCCATCTTGTAATACTAGAAGAGAAAGAGTATCCATGTGAAACTTGTTAAGCAAACTAGATAGGATATATTTTCCTTGTTCTTTACCTATGATGTTTTAGACCAGGGGTCCTCAAACTTTTAAAACAGGGGGCCAGTTCACTGTCCCTCAGACCTGTTGAAGGGCCAGACTATAGTTTTAAAAAAACTATGAACAAGTTCCTATGCACACTGCACATATCTTATTTTGAAGTGAAAAAACAAACGGGGCAAAAACACCCGGCGGGCCAGATAAATGTCCAAGGCGGGCCCCGCATGTGGCCCGCAGGCCGTAGTTTGAGGGCGCCTGTTTTAGACAAAAGAATACAGATAAAGATTGTAGGTAATTTTTAGAAACCACCTACCCCCCTTTCATTGTTTTTCTAGTTCTCTTTTAAGTACAGTTTTTCTTAACTGAATGCTTGAGTTTCCTAGCACTATCATAAAAAAATTGGCAGGAAAGCAGAGGCATAAAACAACAGATACTCATTCTCTGACAATTCTGCGGGCTCTAACTCCTTGCCATTGAGTGGATTCCAAATCTTAGATGTCCAAAGTGAGGCTGTTGGTGGGACTAGGCGCTCTGAAGCTCTATTTGGAAATTAATATTTTCTTGTCTATCGGCTGCTAGTAACCTTAGGTGTTGGCCTGGTATCTGGCAGCATAACTCGCATCTCTGCCTCCATTGTCATCGGGTGCTCTTCACAATATGTCTGTCTCTTATCTTCCTCCTTCCTCACCTCCTCCAGTATGACCTCCTCTTAATTCATTGTACCTTCGAGTACTCTGTTTCCAAACAAGGTCAAAGTCACAGGTATCAAGAAATAGGACCAAGTCAAGCCTTTTGGGGGCACAGATAGCTGCTATTTGTTTTGCCATTTCTTTCAGGGAATTTGCCTTTATTTTTCTTCCCTTTTTATTTTTGCAGATGATTGCTCTTACTTTCTGAGCTGCCGATGTGGTGGAAAATATAGTGTTTCCAAGGATGAAGCAAAAGATGTTAACCTGATTTCCTGTGATACGTGTTCACTAGTTATAGAACTCCTTCACTCTACCTGAAATTAGCCATTACGTGGAACCCTATAACTATGTATTCAGACATGTGGAGGAGTGTGTAGCCAAGCAAATATAAAGCTTAAATGTTTATGCTATCTATGTTCTTACAAAATAAGAGATGATGTAGCAAAGCCACTTCAGATTAATAGAAAATTTAGTAATTTGTATTTATTTACAATTTGTACTTACAGACTAACCCCCACAAAAATACTTAGATTAGGGATTGTATTTTGTTAATTTCCATTTGAAAACGTAATTAGTTTCCTGTTTCCTCTGCTCAACAAAAATTCTTTTTCCTCTTGTTTTAGTAGTATATTTGTTTGCTGAGAAAATAGTTGGTTTCTACCTGCTATCTCAAATTTAGGGTTATTAGAATCTTTATGAATAACGCGAATCTAGCTCCTTCATGAGGAAGTGTGGATATAGACATGTGTGAAGTTATCTCAGAGTTAATAAGGCAGGCTGAGTGACGACTGTAGAAAAAGGATGGCTTTAAAGGCAGAAGACTCAACTCCATTCCTGGCCTTGTATTTTTAAACGCCTATGGCTGTAGTGAAGAGAGTGTGTCCTGATGGCAGAATGCACTCACCCAGTGGCTCTGTGGGAAAAAGACCTGATGATCAGCTCCGGTCATGATTATGGTTTCTCCAGTGCTGAGGTTGCTCTGCACTCGCATGCACTCGATGGTGCCTAACCACAACAGACTGAAGTGTGGAGGGAGCGCTTGGACCTTGCCATTTCCAGTTTAGAACAGAATCTTGGAGATGGAAGCTTTTAAAAACAAGGATTAAAAATTTAGAATGAATATACTAGTTTCCTTTTTATTTTAGATTATTAATGCCTATCTTTATGAATGACTGTACCATTGCACAGCTTGTACTATGAAGGTGGGGCTTTTATAATGTATTGTTTTTTATTACCACTGACTAGATGTCCTAACCTTTTGTTTTTCGACATATTTAATGTTCTGTATACAATGTGTCAGAACTCATTTAAAGAACATTAAGGACTCCTTTATGGGGTCACTGAAACTTGGGTGGCATAGTAGGTTACACATTGGACTGCTAGCCTCAAAGACAGCAGTTCAAAACCACCAGCTGCTCCTTGGGAGAAAGATAAAACTTTCTACTCCTGTAAATAGTTACAGCCTCAGAAATCCATCAGGGCAATTCTACTCGGTCCTATGGGGTCACGGTGAGTCGGAACTGACTGAATTGGAGTTACATTTGTTGGAGCTTATGAGCTGGTTAAGCATATGCTTGTGAAACTCTTGGAGCTGTCAAGTTAGACTAATCAATAAAAATAGTTAACTGCTCTCACAAATGTAATTAAAGCCTAAGGAATCTTTAAAAAAAAAGTAATTACTTTCATTATGTCAGTAAAACCATGAAGTCCAAACTTGAGATAATCAATTCAAGTTTTCACTCTAAAAATATTTTTGTATGTATCAAAATGTAGGTGGCTACCTTTGGTTTACATATTTATCTACATATCCATATGCTTTGCAAGCTATATTTTATGTAGCTTGTAGGATCTATGTTTCACATATATACTTGTAACAAAGACAGCTATAGCTGAATAGCAAATAGTTTATTGTTAAATACATGGTTTCAATGACAATAATAAATTCAGGTGAACAGGAGTACTAAGTCAAAAGAAAAAACAGTTGCTAATCATCAGAAAATCTGTGACCATTGGGGCTGTCTCGTAGAAATCCAAAATCACTCAGAGGCCAAATCTGCAGAATCAAAATGCAGTTGAAGAAAATTAATGAAAGTGACAGATCAGATTCCTTTTATTTACCTATATCCCTTCTCTCTATGCCAAGTAATTATACGCTTTCTCCCTTTTAATTAAGAATATGTTTTTCTGCATCATAATAAAACTTTAGAAAATAAATTTGTTGGTATAAATGTATGTAAGCTCTTAAATTCAGAACATTAAAGCAATATACAAGAAATTATGTATTATGTATCTATGGGTTTATAATTGTGTATGTGGGGGTGTACTTTCTTTTACTACCCCAAATAAGAGTTAAATGTAAACCTTCAACTTAAAATATCTAAGGTTTAGCTATTTGACTATGACACCTGCTTAAATGGAAAGGAACTAGTAAAAACAGCCTTTTCTAAGAATCAAAAATTCACTGTAACTACAGTTTAGTACTGTACTCTTTGTTGAGGGATCCAGTACAGAGTTTTGACTCCTCTGCAAGTGAATATTAGCATATCCTCAGGTTGTGTACTGTTGTAAAAGTTGAATGAGACAGAAGTCACCAGGTTCAGTAATGATAACTAAATAATGGACATTTATTCAAACAGAAAAATGTTCTTGGGATTTTGGGTTACCTCTATGGGGAAGGGGGTGAAAATGTTTTCTGTATAGCTATGTAATTGTCAGCATGTTCATAAAATACACTCATTGCAACATTTAAGACTAATGAGAGCTCTTAGATTTCAACAATTTTGTTGAAAGAAACTAATTTTTTTCTACTCAGAATAAAACTTACATTTAAAAGAGAAAACAAAACAGTACCTTAAAGAAAATACGTCCTCGTATTAATCCATATGGAATAGGTCCATAGTACCTGGAATCAGTAGAATTCTGTAGATTATCACCTTCTAACCAAACATGGCCCATGGGCACCTAGAATCAGAGAAGAAAAGCAGTCCCTTTAAAAAAGAAAAAAATTAATTTGGGCACTATAAAGAGTGAAACATACCTTTTAGAGATGAGAGAAATTATCTAAGGTTCTCTTTTATGAAATATAAGTTGTATGATTTACTGTTTTTTGCAAAAAAAAGGTTATTTTGTTGTTGTTACATGGTTCCCAAATAATCTATTACACAAAACTCAAAGTGAGGTTACAAATGATCAAAATAGTATGACAGGATCATTAATTTAATAGACTTCAAAAGAGGTCATTAGGATGCCGACTGAAAATGTGCCCCCTGTCTCAGTGTCAGCATAAGCAGGGCAGCCACTCACTCTCAAACATCCTGAGGCCACTACACTACTGAGGCCAGACTTATTAGAATGCTCATGATGAACTAAATGGTAATTGATTGTGACATCAATTACAAATAATCTCGTCATTTTATTGGAGTGGGCTTGTCAAAATTCTAATTAAGATCCCTGTTCTGCCTTTGTAAAGCCTATATCTTCAATGCATTAAACTTCAGTAATGACCATCAAGAACTAGAAAACTTGTTTAAAAAAATCAGCTGTAAACTTAATTATCGTGACCTGAATGAAAAACCCTATCTTATATGTCATATGTGTTAACTGGTTTTATAAGTTTAAAATTGTCCTCAATCACAATGACGAACATTTAGAACTATCACCTTTTCAAACTTCCTGAAGCGGGAATCACTTCCTAGGTAATAGACACGTGCTACTTGTGGTGATGGGACACGGAAGACAAAACATGGACAAAATCAGCACTCACTGACCAAGGTAAGGAGATACCAAGAAGTGCATGAAAAAAGGGAAAATCCAAGTAAATGTTGTAATATATAAAATTTTGCAACACCTATTTAACACAGCTAAAAATATGTCAATAAACACACGTACATGTATCGTTTTATTTGTGGGTGTATGTATATAACATTTGTATGTGCTGCATATAAAACCACATACATAACAAACCACATAGGTGCCAGTTACAGAGCCAAGATCTATCCAAACAACTTGTGTGATGAGTTTACAGGAGTAAATGATTGGGGCCATAGTCTCAGGGGACAACTCAGTTAACTGTCGTAACAATTTACAAAGAATGTTCTAGATCAGCAGTTCTCAACCTGTGAGTCACGACCCCTTAGGGGGTAGAACGACCCTTTCACAGGGGTCACCCAATTCATAACAGTAGCAAAATTACAGTTACGAAGTAGAAACAAAAATAATTTTATGGTTTTGGCGGGGTGTCACCACATGAGTAACTGTATTAAAGGGTCTTAACATTAGGAAGGTTGAGAACCACTGTTCTAGATACTAGTTTGGTGAGTAATGTCTACAATCTTAAAATTTATGAATGGCCATCTCAGTCAACTATATGGAGCAGGTAGATAGAAGGACATCAAAGGCTCCAGGAAGAAACAAATGCTAGGGACCTACCTCACCAGAACCACAACCTCTTAATAACGTGAAACTTGAGCTAGGTGTTGCCTGGTGGCTACCGCTACCAACCATTCTGACCAGAGGATACAGTAAAAGGTTCCAGAAAAAACTAGACCTACTGGACTGAGAGAATAGAAGGACCCATAACACTATTGCTCTGAGGTAACCTTTGCATGTGCAGGTCACCTTTCAGCTACGTAACATTGGTTTATAAAACAAACAGTATCCCCCATATACTCCCTTAATCAATGAACTATGGCTTATATGAGAGCAGATGGTCAACACTAACCATTTACCCAAAAGCAAAGACATAGAGGGGAAGGGTAGCTAGATTAATGGATGCAGAATAAACTTCTGAAAACAAATGAGAATATTGACGTATGCAAAATTGTTACCAGTAGCACAATTTGTATAAAAATGGTTAAAACAAACTCATTGCAGTCATCAGTACAGACTCAGTAAGTGTCCTGTGGATTTCCAAGACAGTAACTTGTTACAGGAGTTACAAAGCCCAAACTCTCAGAGCTGCTGGTGGTTTTTAACTGCTATCATGGGGATCACCGCCCAACATGTAGCCACACCACCACCAAGGCTTCTTAAAGAAGAGTGAAAGGAAATCCTAATTTGCTGTGTAAACTTTTCCTACTACAGGCTAGTCCCCGGTGTGGGACACATTATCTCTATGGCCCCTCCTTGCCATTACGATGCTATTTCAACATAATAGCATGTCAGTATCTCCCACAGTTGAGCAGGCATTGGATGGAATTTTGTGGAAGCACATGTTTCTGGGCTCCACTTTGGAAGTTCTGACTTATGAGGTCTGGTGGTAATCAGTCCCCAGAGTTTGCAATTCTAACATTTCCAGGTGAATCTGATGCTGTAATTCCAAGGACTACATTCTTAGAACCACTGGTCTCTATCATCTAGGTCTGCCCCTTGGCCTCATGGCTCAGAAGAGGATTTGATGAACACAGGAAAGGTAGCATTATTTCTCAGTGATGGACATCACAAAACTGACGTAAAATATCCATGCCAACATTTATGGTTCATAAGAACTAAAAACACCTCAATAAACTGAATAATTATCAACACAGGATAGGCGGCTCTATGGAAACCTGAGCATCAGGAGCCGAGGAATTGGACCGAGAGATGATTTGTCTGTTCACTGCAAACACCTCTTCAGGGAAGGCAAACCCTCCCCACCCCCACCCCCATGTACTTTGAACCTAGATTAAGCTGAGCATTTGTTTGTAGCACAGTGCTTTAAGTAGAAAGTTTTTACTGATCTTAAAGAAAGCGCTCTGTATGGCAAACTACTTAGCTGTGAGATTCAAAGTCCACATTGATTGACTATACTTTTATCATTAGACAATTCCTTTTCCTAGATAACCTGATTAGATGTAACATACTGTTTTTAATGAAAGAAGTTGGGTAATCTTAACCAAAACCAAACCCACGTGCCATCAAGTTGATGCTGTCTTATAGCAGCCCTATATTAACATTTGTTAATATGTGCTCCTTATATATTGGGTTTCCTTTCTTGGTTATAATTTGAATGATGTTACAATCTCCCTCTTAAAAATTGCTAATCTTTTTTTTGTGCACATTGGAGGCACTTGATTTTGGAGAAAATGTATTATATTTTCAAGAATTTCCATGTCCACTTACAAGCCATTTATCCCAGCCCGACCCCTCTTTCCCCAAACTTTGGCTTTCTTCTCTCGTGCTAATTTAAGGTTTCACATTAGGTAATGTGATCCTTTCATAATAATGTGCTTTGGACCAAATTATTTGTAAATAATCTATTGTTATGTTATTTGTTGATTTTATTAGACTTCTGCAATCATCCACCTCAACATGGGAAATTTGATCTTTTGAATAAAAATAAATAGGCCATTGGAAAAATGCCTTCTGCAGTATCAAACATTTTCTCATTAACATTGGTCAACTATAAACTTAAAGATTATCCTTAGCAATAAGTTTTAGAATTGCTTTCTAAAGCTCTATTATAGTTTTGTTACTTAAATAGTTGAATTATTAACCAGACCAAAATAACTTATTGGTACAGACTTATTTTCACTATCCTAAAGTTCATACAAGGATGTAAAATTTGAATTTCATTTTATTTTAGATTTTCTACTTTTAGAATGTCTTCATATAGCTATATCTTCAAAAATACCCTGAAGTTAATTCTATGCCATTTCCAGTAACATACTGCTATCTAGTCAATTCTGACTTAACAACAACTCCATAAGAGAGTAAAACTACTGTAAGATTTCCATTGCTACAAATCTCTAAGCCTACTGCCACATCTTTCTCCCAAGGAGCTGCTGGGTGAGTTCACACTGCTGACCTTTCAGCTAACAGCCCAACACTTAACCCACTGCATCATCAGGACTCTTTCTTTGCATATAGATACACTTAAATGTTTATATATTTATAGAAAGGATACAAGTTTCCTAAAATTAGATTTTTTTTAAAAACTCACTAATGAAGCTATAGATTTTATATTGAATCCTGGCTCGTAGATCACTTGACTGGGTAGAAAACGGCAACATAATAACAAAGCTTTTTCTGCCCAGTCAAGTGATCAATGAGCCAAGGACCAGTATGCCCTGTCCAGTATGTCCCAATATTACCTGCCCACAACAGTTTATCTGATACTTTAGAACAGAGGTTAGCAAACTTTTAAGATAGAAGAGCCAAGTCCTGTCACAACAATTTAAGAATTATTTAGAACCATCAATGTTTTTGTAAATGAAATCATTATCTGATTAATAACCTTTAAAATGGTTCAGTTTTACTTCAGAACCACCATACTTTCCAGAAAAAGGCATATATGGCTCAAAAACCTCAATTTACCAATCCCTGATTTAGAGCATTTATCATATAAAGTTGGCTTTCCTTGGGACCCTCGATGTTGTTGGGTGCTCTGGTCTTGAGTCATAGCTACCCTATGTGCAACAGAAGGAAACACTGTCTGGTCCTGTGTCATCCTCAGAATTGTTAAGTTTGAGCCCATTGTTGCAGCTACTATGTCAGTCACTCTGGTCAAAGTCTTCCTCTTTTTCACTGCCCCTCTATTTTACCAAGAACGATACCCTTCTTGGGCTCCTGATAACATGTCCAAAGGACATTAGACAAACTCTCACCACCCTTTCCTCTAAAGAGCATTCTAGCCATACTTCCAAGACAGACTGTTCTGTTGACATCCATAGTAGTTTCCATATTCTTCCCCAACACTATAGATTTCAAATGCATTGATTTTCCTTTAGTCGTCCTTGTTTAATAGCCAACTTTCACATGCACATGAGACAACTGAAAGTACCATAGCAGACACTGGGCAGTGTAATATAAGATATAATAATAATTTATAAATTATTAAGGGTTCATGGGGGAGGGAGGAGTGGGAAGGGAGGGGGAGGGGAAAAAAGGAAAATGAGCTGATGCCAGGAACCCAAGAGGAAAGGGAATTTTGGGAATGATGAGGGCAACAAATGTATAGGTATGCTTTACACAATTGATCTATG